GGGTCGCGATCAGCCGTGCACCTTTGCCGATTTGCCGTGCAATCGTCCCAAGAATCGATTCACCAACATCCTGCCCTACGATCATTCACGCTTCAAGCTGCAGCCGGTGGACGATGACGAGGGCTCCGACTACATCAATGCCAACTATGTGCCCGGCCACAATTCGCCCCGTGAGTTCATTGTCACCCAGGGGCCGTTGCACTCGACGCGCGACGACTTCTGGCGCATGTGCTGGGAGAGCAACTCGCGGGCGATTGTCATGCTGACACGCTGCTTCGAGAAGGGCAGAGAGAAGTGCGATCAGTACTGGCCCAATGACACGGTGCCGGTGTTTTACGGTGACATCAAGGTCCAGATACTCAACGACAGTCACTACGCCGACTGGGTGATGACTGAGTTTATGCTCTGCCGAGTAAGTACCGAGATCACATTTCACATTCGATTCTGTATCGATTCTAAACATATTTTTGTTGTTGTTTGTTTGTTTGTTTGTTTTACAGGGCAGCGAGCAGCGCATTTTGAGGCACTTCCACTTTACAACCTGGCCGGACTTTGGTGTGCCAAATCCACCACAGACGCTGGTGCGCTTTGTGCGCGCCTTCCGCGATCGCATCGGGGCCGAACAGCGACCCATTGTGGTGCACTGCAGCGCTGGCGTTGGTAGATCGGGCACCTTCATCACACTGGACCGCATACTGCAGCAGATCAATACCTCCGACTATGTGGATATCTTTGGCATTGTCTATGCCATGCGAAAGGGTGCGTATCACCTGCTTAGCTTTATTGCTGCCATCTGATTGATTCTCCATTTTTAGAGCGCGTTTGGATGGTGCAAACGGAGCAGCAGTATATTTGCATCCATCAGTGCCTGTTGGCGGTGTTAGAGGGCAAGGAGAATATTGTGGGTCCGGCGCGTGAGATGCACGACAACGAGGGCTATGAAGGTATGTGACGGATCTACAACCCCCACCCACCCCCTCCCCAGCCCCATACGCTACATAAAGTTCTCGCTCGCGCGCGCACACAAAAATGACTAACAAAATATGCCCCCAAACCAACGAAAAAAAAAAACACTCCTTGCGGGATACACCCAAGGACATTATGGGTTATCGATGGAGCCTGAAACTTGTGTTTATATATATTTTCTTCTTTAAGTGTAGATTTTGTATACCCCACTCTACCCTATATCCACTACCCTATACCCTATACCCTATAGACCCTTTTTGGTGATGGGCTAACTAAATGACTAACTTAACCCTCTCTTCCCATTCATTGCCCATTTGCTCCTGCTGCTGCTGCTGCTGCTCCTGTATCAATATCAATATCAAAACAAAACAAAACAAAATAAAGGACAACAAGTGGTGCAGCTGGACGAGAACGGAGATGTGGTGGCCACCATTGAGGGCCATCTATCGCATCACGAACTGCAACAGGCGGAGGCGGAGGCCATCGATGATGAGAATGCGGCCATCTTCAATGACGATCAGCAGCCACTCACCAGCAGTTTCATTGGCCACAAGAGCCTCAATCTGCCCACAACCACATCGATGAGCTCCTTTGGCGGCGGGGCTGGCAACAATCTGACGGATGGCCATGGCCCGGACAGATGACATTCGGTTGTCAATCAGAGCGATAACAACAACTCTGTGGTTATCGTTCTGGTTGACAACAAACCCAGCTCGATGATCTGCAAGGACAGCAAGAGTAATCTCGATATCATCGATTCCAATCATCAGCATCAACATCAGCATCAGCCACTGCCTCCATCGTGTACGTCCATGGGTGTGCATGGGCCATGGCCAGGCCATGGGCATGGAAACGGGTATAATACGCTCCAGCATAGACGCAAATCACAGCTGATCACATTCAGCTCATCGTCCTGTGATATCAAGAACAGTCTCAGTCATGAGCATATCTCGAATGGCAATGGCAGCGGCAGCGGCAGCGGCAGCAATCGCGCCAGTCGCGCCAATGTTCGTCTCAGCTTTGCCGAGGAGGATGTGATGATCATACCGCAACAGCATCCACAGCATACACAGCATACACAACATCCACAGAACGATGAGGTATTTGTGCGACGTCGTTCCCTGCTCGAAGTGGAGCTGGGCGTCGAGGTGGGCGAAGAGGGTGAATTGGTGCCACAGCTAGAGCTCGATGAAGAAGAGGAGGAGGACGACGACGACGACGAAGAGGACGAGGAGGAGGCAGAGGAGGATGGAGAAGAGGAGCTCAATGTGGATGAGGATCAGGATGAAGAGGACGTTGAGCTGTATATGCACGATGAATTCGAGACGCACATCGATGCCAAATCGAATAATGCCAACGATGACAGTGGCGGCGGCAGCTACGAGGACTCGCACGCCCTGCACTCCTCGCTGGGCGGCAGCAATCGCAACAGTCTCGAGAAGGATGACGATGACATCGAGGTGGATGTGATCAGCACCGATGTCAGCTGCTACGATCAGTTGCTGGGCAGCAGCTGCAATACCCGCAATGGGGATGACGATGACATTGCCACCCTGATGGGAGATGCTGACACAAATTATGCCACAACGAAGCTCTGCAAGACCTCACTGCATCATGGCATATTGGTTGGTGCTGCTGGAAATGGAGCTGTAGCTGGTGCTGCTGGTGGAACAGCCATGGGGGGTAATGGTGGTGGCGGCGGATGCGGAAGCGGAGGTGGCAACGGTGGCATCAACGCTGGTGCTGGTGCTGGCAACGGTGGCGGTGGCTGTGGCGGCGCAGAGGCCGGCGGCGGCATTATCTATGCCAATCCATTCATGGGTTTGTAGACAAACACACACACAGTATCCATGGAGAATGGAGATGTATTTACTCGTATGTTTTCTGTGCCTGCCTGCCATTTGATTTATTTTTGCATGATTTCTCTTACGTTTAAGTTTCCTTTTCGTTGTTGCTGTTGTTTATTTCGTGATATATTTTTGTGTATGTTTTATTTGTAGGTTAATTGTCTAACAATGCATGTCTCAGCTATGTGCTTAAACATGATGGCAAAATGAATGTTTCTCATCCGAAAAGTGTTGGCATATCTTACAGATGACGAGGGCATTGCCGAGTCGGGCATGTAGGAGGCACCAGGAGGCACCACGAACTCAACCCAAACAGAAAACTCAAACCGAAACAGGAGAGAAGACGAACTCAAACCCAACCCAACCCAACCCAACCTAAACCAACCCAACCCAACCATCATGTGGCAAAACTATCGTACATTATTATTTACTTAAGTGATGAATGAAGATCGAAGATGGAAGATGGAATGGATGATCAACGCTTGATATTAATACTTGGATATACAATATATACATATACATATACCTATATATATATATATATATACTACACTACTTTATACCGATCTAGAACAGATCTATCGAATGGGGAATGCAGCAATCTCGCCAAACACGCATCAATTTATACATTTTATATATATACTAAAAATCTATATCTAATATATGTAATTGTAATTGTAATTGCTGCTTCAACAACCAGAAAAACCGAAGGATACAGAAGATTGTATTTTTTACGCTAGCCACAATTTGATATTTGTATATGTATTCATATATGTATACTATATATATATGTATCTTCCAATTTTTTTGTACACCTAATGTTAGTGGATATAATTAATTAATGTATGTATTGTGACGAGCAAAGCGCTAAATGTTTTATGTTTTTTTTTTTATTAATATAACATACAAGCATACAAAATACGATATAAAGACCTATATAGATACTGGATAAACAATATGCCTAATACTAGAACGTAAACGAAACTAAAAAAACAAAACAAAACAAAAACTAAACTATAGACCGCACAAAAACAAAACAAAACAAACAAAAACTATAAAAACAAATACACACTGAAAATGCAATAATTAATTGAGGAGTTACGTAGTTTTTAAATGATAAAATGTTTGTTTTGATATCGATGCAACCATTAAGTGTATAGTTTTATTTTTTGTTTCCCTCCCACGCCCCTTTTACCAACATACAATATGCGTATATGGTTTTTTTTTTGTTTTTTCTGTGTAATATTATTATTTGTACAATTTTTAAAAGTGTATTTGTATTTCTTATTTGTATGTACTATGTGCTAATTGTAGTTCTTTTTGTTTTAAAATTACATATTATAAAAAAAAAAAAAACTCAATTTGGATTTTGGCGCTTGCTTAACAACCAGGAAGAATGCACCCCATGCACCCCATCAGATCAAACACATAACAACAATAAACGTAATTTAAAACACCGATGTGTAAGCAAAGCAAACAAAGAGTAGGAGAACAAGAAACAGCAACCGATATGGTTACGGCTGCAGCACAACAAATAACGAATGACCAACGCATTTTGTAAGGCGATAATCATTTACCAACAAAAATCCCACGAAAAACGAAGTATAGAAGGGGCAAGGAAAGTATTTGTCGTACCCACCCACATATATAGAGACAGAGAGAGAGAGATAGAGGGCTCTTACTAGATAGCCGGTGCCAAAGCCTAAAGGAAACAAAACAGAACCCCCAAAAACGCCGACTGCTGTACTAATAGGAATAGCAAACAAATAAAAATAACATAAACAAAAAAAAATACATAAACTAATAGAAATTGTAGTCCAAATAATTTGCGTACATTTTTTTTACTTTATTTATTTGTTCAAATAGTTGAAATGTTTAACCGACAAAACTGTGAGACAGAGAAGGAGAGGTGCAATAGAACTCAATAATAGTTTTGCTTCTAGTTTAGTGCAAAGAAAAAGATACAGAAGGAGACAACGAAAGGAGGATAAACCACACCCCCTCCCCCAACACATAAATACATATGCATAAAATAATGAAAAGTCTGTATAATGCATGAATATCCGAATATATAGTACTATAGTACACACAACCTACTAACTAAAGCCGACTTGCGATGTGTATACATACATATACATATATCGAGTATATACACGAAACACATACATATGCATATACATACATACATACATAAAGCATACAATATAGACATATATAAAATATATATCATTGTAATAATTTGTAATGTTTATCAGTAGAACTATATATGATCAAAGGAAAATCGCGAACAAAAAGAACACCCGAAAAATGAAGCAAACAACAAAACGCATGCGGCAACAACCATTAAAGTGTACTGTAAAATGTGTAACATTGTGTTTCAATATTCGACTTCCGTTTCCGCTGCCGAGGAGAAACACCCAATACGGAAATTTTTGGGTATTGTTGGGTATCTACTTCTATTTTAATACATATTATGCAGAGTATACAGCATATTTATGAATGGGAATCCGATCTCCTACTGGCCGCCACTGCCACTGCCACTAGCTGCTGGCGCTGCTCCTGTCATCGCCAGCGTGGCATCCAGCTCGGCTTGAATCTGCTCAAACTGATTGTACAGTTGCAATAGCTCCGGATGTGTCATTTCCGAGCTAATGTCCTCCCCAGCTGCTGTTCGCAGCTGCAGCACGCCTATTGGCGTTCTGTCGCGTTGCTGGCAGTGCGAGGAGACCTCTACGTGCAGCTTCCAGGCCACGTCCTCGACCACATTCGACTCGTAGCGCGGGCTGGCCAGATTCTCCATGATCGGCGTTGTCTCGCGCACCCACAGCCGCAGAATAGCATCGATCTTGGCCTCGTCCTCCAGCTGGAGCTTTTCGCGCAGCTCGCGCTGCAGCAGACTCGGCTTGATGATGAATGTGGAGATGCGTCGCAGGATGTAGGAGAATGTTTTGATTAGCAGCAAAAAGTCGGCACGCGGCACCCCCACCAGACGCTCCAGCTCCTCCAGCGTGTACTCCGGCTCATTGCTGCTAGTGGGTGTGGTGTCCTCGGCATTGCTGTCGGCCCGCTCCGTGGTGGTGACGCTAGTACCCACGGTGCTCGTCGGGGCTGCAGCCGCTGTGCTGGGGCTCATCTGGCGATGGGTGTACCAGAGCACCGTGTTAAAAATGTCGTATGGCAGGGAATTGATGATTTTTATTCCCTCCCGGGCCCTGTAATTGATGGGATAAAGGCATTGTGAAGTGAGGGGGCAGCAGCTCAATTTAGTTTCTACTTACCGCTCGGTAATCTTTATCCAGTTTATGCTCATGTTGTTTATTGTTTATTCACAGCAAAATATGTCAATCAGCTGTTAGCTATTGCCAGTGCGTCCATTTTTCAGCGTGCTGGCATCACCGTGCATTTCGATTGTACGATAGCACGTTATCTGCACGGCTTGCCATCGATAGGTTTTATTTGTGTATTGGATTGGCTTGAACGCGGCTTAATGCAATTTTTTGCTGGTTCGGCTGCAAAACATGCATTTTTGATGAGAAAACAGAAGGAGAGACAAGTGCAGTCAGACACACATACAGTGACAGTCCGACCATAAGTGCAGTGCCGTGCGGGGTACGAAGAAAGTGCGCATTTCACACAAATTAGCAGTTCGTTTAACCGACCTTATTGATAGTTATGTGCATACATACACGCGTGCACACATACACGGGCTAGAAAAACCAACCACCATCGCACCGCAGCAGCCCCACCAGCAAAACAGCATCGATCAACCACAGGAGAGGAGAGGAGGCAAATGTAAGAACTATTTGCTGTAAATTTCATTCATGAACCGCCGCCGCAATAACTGTTTATGTGTGTAAAGAGCACCCGGCTTCCCCCATGGCATCAGGCCCGGCCCTCTGCCTAATAGTTAGTTTGTGTGTTTGTGTTGTTGTCAAGTGCTATTTCTTGTTCCGCTTCCAGGGTTTTGTATGTCAGAGTTGGGTGCTCTCTATTTTTTTTTCAAATTTTTTTTTTCTTTTTGCGAAGCCTGCATCTGCATGTGTCCGCGAGTGTGTGTGTGTGTGTTTGTGTGTATAATTGCATTCTTGCAGCTCATGTTTTTTCTGCTGAAAAAATCGATAGCGCGTCGTCGGTTGTTTATTTAATGCTTCGTCTGCAATTTCCAGCCCCTTTCTCTCTCTCTCTCTCTCTGTCGCACTGCCGCACTGCCACTGCAGCTGTAGCACAGCACCCCTTTTGGCTCAGCGCGCGCGCGCACGCACACATGAAGGCAGCCACAATGCACAGTTATACACAAACACAGAAGCGGACCAGATAGCAATTCCAGTGATACGGGAAATTAAAAAATAATCAGTTTTTATCAGTGGTATGCAAAAGCCGAAGAAAACAATTCCAACAACCATCTTTGCAGTGCCATAAAAAGAAAAAACTAATTGGCTTGTGGGAGGGAGGGAGGTAGCGGGAGGCATTGGGCAAAAAAAGAGTTTTCCATTTTCTCGTTTCTTCTGCCTTGTGGCAGTTTTTTTTTAACAGCGGAAATATTGGGGTTTCTTGTCTCGCGCCTTTGCTTCTTTTCTCCTACATTCTTACCTTTTGTTTGTGTGTGTGTTGTGTTCGTTTGTTTTGTGTTAATGCAGAAAATAACGGTTAATCCAATTAAGAAAACCAAAACTATAATCGACTGCCAGGTCGAACTGTGGATGCCCTAACCACACGACCTCGAAACGAAGCTCGCTCGAGTGTGAGAGATAGAGATGCTTGCTCTCTCTCTCTCTACCAAAGATTTGCATAGGCAAAGCATGCAAGCCCAGTTTGATGGGGAGGAGGCCTATGCTCCGCTTTGGGCAGTGTAGCGCAGCTCCAGCTCGACGGACAGTCCGTCGCAGTTCCAGTCTCAGTTTTGGTGGGTGCGCGGCCGGGTCAAGTCTTACCACAGGGAGCAGCAGCAGTAGCAGCAAGTAGCAGCAGAAGGGAGGACAACGTCAACGTAATATCATGCACTAATGCACATAATGCCATTTGCAGCGCTAAGGTCACCACAGAATGGAGTCCCAACCGAAGCGACCCTCATTGCATTTAGTGGCAGAAGCTGGAACAGGATCTGGATTGGGTGCTGGTGCTGCAGCCACAGCTGAGATGTCGGGCGCATATTCCCCCACCTCGGGCTTCCTGCCGGACATGCCGCAGTGGAAGAAGGACCTCATACAGCGCCGCAAGACGAACGTGGCCCGCACACAAGCGGCAGCCTCGCCAACAGCTACCTCCGATGTGGATGTGGATGTGGCCTTGGGGGAATCAACTGCATCGGGGGGAACCGCAGCAGGCGCCAGTGCAGGTGAGTGATCGTCTCGCGGCTTACACAATCTCTGCACAGCTGTGTATGGATTTTGATTGAAACGTGTTTTATGTTTTCTGTTTTCGTGGATAAACAATAAACAATAATTGCCAGCTGTTTGTTATCTAGAACCAAATCAGTAATTCCATTGCCAATAGAATTCGAATAAGCCGCGCAGCTATCGATTACGCCTGACTCAGCAGCCCTGTGATGTGTATCGATACATATGTGTGCGAGTGTACTACACAGGGCTGCCAGATCACTAGGGAGGGTTGTTGTTGGCAGTCAGCGGCAGAATCCGAAATTGATATTGAGATTATAATTTCGATCCGATCTAATTCTTTGCAGAACCGACTGCGACTGAGGCGGCGATCTCTAGTCAACCACAACAGAAGCCGCCGGCAAAGAGAAATGTAAGCCAGACAGCGACACCAACAGCAGCACACATACAAATGCAAACAGCGCTTAAGACTACACCAACAGAGGAAAAGTCTGAGAAATCTTTCATTGGAGGTCATCATACCCAACAGCAACAACAGCAGCAGCAGCAGCAGCTCCACCAAGGCAAAGACTCGTCAGCGTTGGCCTTTTCAATTTCAGCTGAAACAACGTTTGGGCCAACGGCCACTGGAAATCCACAAATACCAATACCAATACCAAAGCAGCGATCAAGTTTATTTAACACAAGAAGTCCATCAACAACAACAACAACAACAACAACAACCAACAGCAGCAGCAGCTCCAGCGGCACGAAGGAGCCAGAGATTCTAAATTTGGATCTCAGAGAGCGTGAGAGCGAGCGTGAGCGAGAGCGAGAGAGTGAACGCGAGCCGGGAGAGCAAATTGACTCCATGGTGAGTTGCCGCTCTCGCGGCGGTGGTGAAGTTGAAACTGGCACAGCGGCGGCGGCAGCGACAACTGGAGCATTAACAGCTAGCGACGCCAGCGGCGGCAGCGGCATCGGCGCACTGGCAGCAGCGCCAACATCGTCGTCGTCAGCAAATCACTTGCAAACGAAACTTGGACAGACCGTTTCAGAAGGGGCTCCCAGTCAGACGAGCTCCACCGCGAAAGAGAAAGAACTGCAGGTAGCCGCAGTAGCAGCAGCACCAGCAACAGCAACAGCACCAGCCACACAGTTGGTTCTTGTTGATAATAAAAACGGTTCGAAAACAAAGCTCATTTCCGATAAATTGCAGAGCAATAAGTTTATAAAACAACAGCAGCAGCAGCAACAACAGCACCAACATCAACAACAGCAACAACAGCAACAGCACCAGCAACAATTGTCGCCCACCAAATTAACGGTAAAAACGACAATGGTCGCCATGCAAGAAATGAAAAAGACAACAAAACAAAATGGCCAACATCGTCACATCGCGAAGAGCAGCAGCAACAGCAGCCACAGCGGCGACCCAGAGGCTGCCTCCGGAGTGGCCCTGCCAGAGCTGGTGGACACCGGCGAAGATCTGAGCTATGGGCCCGGTATCGTGTCGAAGCTGCGTTGCCGCTACCTAAGCCTAGCGCTGCGCGAGTCCCACCAGCAGAGCCAGAAGCAGCGCCTGCAGCGCTCCACCAGCCTCAACACGCTGCTCGATCGCGACGACGATGAGGAGGAGATGAATGCCAATGCCGGTCTCGAGGTGGTCTCGACCCGTGCCAAATCCACACCGCCGCCGATACTGGGTGCCAAGCCGACGATGCTTGGCGGTGGCTACATCAAGGGCGCCCAGGCGCCGGTCCAGCGTCCCGTTAGTCTGGGCACCAATGGAACAACCCCCACCCTGTCTGCACTAAGCACCGAAGATCCAACAAAGCCCACCAATGGAGGAGGAGGAGGAGGCGGAGGAGTGACCCGTTCACGTCACTTTAAACGCGGCAACGAGGTAATGAAACGGGCCCGCTCCGTGGAGGCGCTGCTCTGCGAGAAGTCGCCATGGAATACGCAAAGGGCCAGCTACCAGACGACGAGCATGGCCATGCCCACTGCACCACAGGCTGTCTCCCCGGGCGCTGCATCGCCCACCTGCGTCACCATCGAGGACAAGATCCACAATGCCCGCGAGCGACTGCACAGTGGGACGGATACGGCGCCGCCCAAGCGTCTGACCTCCATCATCGACGACACGGAGCGCCCGCCACCGGATCTGGTCAAGCAGACGCTGAAGATGTTCGAGGCGAGTGCCAATCGTCGGCCACGCGCCACCCACCGCTCCAACGGAGTGGGCGGTGTGGCCAGCAAGGTGGCCAGCTACAAGTCGATCCTCAAGGAGCAGCGATCGCCGGCACCCAGCGTGGCCAGCACACCGCCATCCCTGTCCCGGCGTGAGCCCGGCCAGAGTGTGGGCTTTGCTGCCTCCACCCCCAAGCAGGTGACACGCTCAGCATTGATCTCCGACAGCAGCAGCAGCAGCACACCCCATCCCCATCCCGATATCATTCCTCGGCAGCTGGCCAGCGCTGTGGACTCGCCCGTAACCGCGCTGAGCCTCATGATGGGACGCATCAATCTGCAGGATGCGGATGACGAGGCGGCAACGGCGGCAGCGTCGGCTGTGAATGAGAGCTTAGTCAGCGAGGCCAGAGCGGCGACGGCATCGGGAACGGGAACGGTAGCAGCAGCAGCAGTAGCAGCGTCGTCGTCGTCGTCGACGACAAACAACGAAGCGAACAGCGAATACGAGAATGAGAATAATGCCAGGCACGATGTTGGCAACGATGGGGATGACGACAACACCACCAACGACAACAACCGCAACGACAGCGACAACAATGGGCACGATGGCGATAATATGGGCGCGGCAGGCGATAAGCCTAAGCCCCCCACAAGCACAGCAACGACGACGACGACGACGACGGCGGCGGCGGCGGTGGCGACAGCGGCAGGAGGCGCCCAGCGATCATTCGTTGCCACGATCGAGAGCGCGCACGTTCCCAGTGGAAGTAATATCGCAAGAAAACAACTGAACAACAGCGAGACGGGATCGGGACTGGGATTGGGATCGGGATCTGGATCCGGGATAGCCGGCACTACAACAACAACCAAACAGATTGGTGTGATACGGCCGCTCTTCAATAGCAGCGGTTCGACACAGCAGCTGACCAGTCGCGAGATCGAAAAGAATCGCATTAATGAGATGAAAAAGTCCTCGGCACTGGCCAACGATGGCAGCTCCGGTGCGGGTTCGCCCATAACTAGTCTGGATACGGTGATAAATACGATACGGGATGGTAGCGAAACGGACGCGGCCACAGCCTCGCCCTTGTGGACACTACGCAAGCTGCGTCATGGCCATGCAGCCGGTAGCAATTCTGGTCATCATGCGGCAGGAACGGCGGCCACTTCCAGCCATTCCACGGAGAACACCTCGATGGTGTTCAACTTCTCCAAGAGCAGCAAGGAAGTGCCCGACTACATTGAAAGCGATGTTGTGATCTACAGGCGTAAACGGGAATTGCCAAAGGTGAGTGTGTGGTGCGAGTGGGATGGGATGGTGGTATGAAGTGGGGGGAAATTCATTCTCTCTTCCTTATGCATTCCAATGCAAATAGTGCATTAGGGGGGGGAGAGTGGAAGTGGGAGTCCCAAGGCAGGAAGTGTCAACAGCGGGGGGGTTTGCATTGCCTTTCCCTTTCCCTTGGAAACTGTCGCCTTATCAGTGTACATAGATGTGTGTGTGTGTGTGTGTGGGTGCGTGTGCATGGAATGTGTGGCGCCCTTGCGGATTATTCATACTTAATTACTTTGTGAATTATTATTTTCTTGATAATAATTTGGTTGGCTGTCCCCAATATCTTTGTTATTATGGTTTTATTTTTCCATTTGTTTCTCTGTTTTGCTGTTGTTTTTTTTTTTTGTGTCATACGGCAGCCATGCCATATAAACAAACAGACACAGACACAGAGGGAGAGACAATCGTAGAAGAGCGTCGCGCAAGCGGGTAGAAGGGAAAGAGAGCAAAGCAGAAGCAAACACACACGCACACACACACACACACACCCACACAACCAGCGATCATGCGCATTTCGAAAGTTCAACAAGGCAGAGCGAGAGCCAGAACAACAACAAAAGCTTTCGAGTGTATTGTACATCGGAGATTGAATACTCTTTCCCAGCAGCAGCAGCGGCAGCAGCTGAAACGGCAGCAGATGTGCGACGGCGCAAATGTTTTTCCTGGTTCCCAGGCAAACCATTGGAGTGTAAGTCATGTGTGTGTGTGTGTGTGTACATCCCTCCTTGTACTCTTTCATTGATCTTCTGCCAAGAGTCAATTAGAATTTGCCTTGAATCTCTCATTCTCCGATCGATGGATATGTGCATACATATTCGTGTGTGTGTGTGTGTAGTATGTTCCCAGACATTTTTTTCTTTGTTTAAAGCAAAATGCAAGTTTTGTCTCTCCTTCGTCCCTGGCTCACATCTCCTCTCCTCTGTCTCTCTGCATATTCCATTTTATTCCATTCTTTTGCCTGCAGTTTTTGATTACATTGAGAAAAGAAAAAGAAAAAAAAATAACGTCTCAAAGTCTGGGCGAGGGGATGGGGTAGCGAAATAACCAGTTTTTATATACCACAAAAAGATATTTCTCCGTTTTGTTCTTTGCTTCCTGCTGGCTGTCCCATGGAGGCAAAGATTATGCTCAAGTACATATACATTATGTGCATATGCATATATGTACATGCGTACATATATGTAGCTTTAGTTTTCAGGAGGTGACTCTTTAAATGCCGTGACAGGGCCGGGCATGCAAGGCTTGCTGGGCAGAGCGACCGCACAGCTGTTTCTTTTGCAGCCATGTTGAGTTTGCCCTCTCTCTCTCTCTCTCCTCGCTCTCCGCTTTTTTGCTCTCTCAGCTTTGACTGCGGCTTTAGCTTTTAGCTTCAGCTTCAGCTTGAGTTGAGTTCTTTTTCCGCCCCACTCCCACTCCCTCTCCCGCAAAACCAAAATTTCCACCGGTTGCTGTTGTTGGCAAACCCGTTTAATGCCGTGTGCCGTTCGCTCTCCCGCTCTGCCTCTGCTTCTGCCCTCTGCTCTGTGCAATCTTATTGGTGCCTTGTCTTCCGTCTCTCTGGAAATGAACTCGATTTTTGTTGAATTCTTTTTTGTTGCCAGATTCTGTGTGCCGTATGCCGCTGCTTTTGCTTTTTTTCCTCCTCTTCTGGCTGCACTGCATTTTATTATGCTTTGGAGTTTTCTTGTCTCTTTTTATCTGCTTTCGGAACTGCTTTTATCTCTTTTTGTTTTTTGGGGCCTGGCATATGGATCGAAGCTGTCGGTCGGCCACTGCCAGAAATGGGGCAAACGGGAATGGAATGGATATAAAACGGGGACAGGGAGCAAGGGACAGGGCCTGCAAGGGATCGGAAGGCCAAAGCCATTAAGGCATCATCCATCCATTCCGCAGGGCATGACTCACACAGTGCTCGTACCGTACCGTACCATCCATAATGATGATGATGATGATGAAGCTTTCCATGAATTTCACTTTTTGAACTCATTTTCATATGTATATTTATTTTTTTCTTTCCTTCTCTTGTTTTCCCCCGTCCCACCGCCTCGACAGCCAAATGAACCCGGCTTCGTGCTGCTGGGCGATCTATCGGTGGAGACCTCCACGGATACGGACTACGACGATTACTCCCTGTGCCCGCCCTCGCCGTGCGACGTAGAGTTCGAGAATGCCAACATTGTGATCGATGGCAAGTCCAGCATACGCCAGAAACCCAAAGAGTCAACGGTGAGTAGAGTCCCCCAAGTAAAGCAGAGCCGAGCTAGCCATCGATGTCGATGATTCTGATAGAAACTAAACATATATATAGTAAAAGCGTGAATCAAGCCCTCAGGATCGGATCTGATTGGATCTAACTCTCGTTAGAAAGCAGTGGTGGGGAGGGGACTCCCCTCGACCGGACCCCACGATGCGTGAGGAATGATTTGACATAGTCTCGGTACACATAGTAGCACCAAACAGATCCATGACTCAATTGCGGTATCAGAACGCTCCGACCAAAAGATAGCATGGCCAGGCCATAGCATTTATTTTCCAATTCGTTTCCTATTTTTGTTACAATTCTTTTTTATTAGTGTGTGTGTGTGTGTGTGTGTGGGGATAAGATAAGATTATTTTCCACATAAAGAGGCGTAGGGTTGGGGTTTTTGGTACGCTATACAAAAACGCGGTATTGGTTTTCTATCGAGTGAGAAAATTGGAAACAAAAATGGAATTCCACCACGGCGGAATTCTGAACGGGTTGCAGCCAGAGCAGAACAAAGCAGAGCACAGCACAGCCCAGACGACGATAAGACCGGTCTACGAAACGTGAATTTATGCTGTGCCCCCAGTACCCGTGCCCAGTGGCCAGTGGCCATGCTCTCCCTCTCCCCCTACCGCTGGGCTCCTTATCGGTTATCTGCCATTAATCAAACTGCATTAGTTTTGGGCTTTAGTTTTTGGGATTTGGTTTCTAGGTTTTTTCTTTTCTTTTCCTTCCTTTTTTTTTAAATTTTTTTTTTTATATATATATTCTGGTGCGTTTCATCAAATGTGACTGATATGATCGGCTGGTTTGAGGCGGCGACCACTTTTAATTCTTTGGACACATGTACATAGAAATACATGTACATATGTAGGAATTCGGGAACTGTTTTGTGATAAGGAACGTAATGTCATTGCTGGCCGCCCTCTGACTCACTAATTGGGGATCGATAAGAGAGGTTCTAAGTGGATGAGTAATGTCGCGTTGTGTGTTTTATTATGGTTCGACTGAAGTCTGCCTAAATAAAAGGGAATAGCTCGTCCTTTATTGGGGCCAGAAATATAATATTCTTTGTTTTGTTTTCATTTTCTGTATGTGAATCTGAATCTGATGTGACTAATCTTGTATCCTCTTTTTGTGTACAGTTTCGCGTGCAGTTTAACGACACGTTGACGTCCACCTTCGAGTACCCCTCAGAGGCATCGATGATCATCGATGATCCGCCCTATGCCGATCCCTTTTCCCATGTCAGCAAGCATCACCAGCTGCTGCTGGCCGAACAGATGCAGCTGCTGCAGCATCAGCAACAGGTGCAAAAGCAGCACCAGCAGCATCATCATGTTACTGTGGACGAGATCATTGAGCTTCCCACATCGACGGTGGGGAACAATAAATCTGGCAGCGATGGAGGCGGCGGCGGCGGGGGCAATATGCTGGGGAATTTACCGTTGGGTAAGTAATATCGGAACGGATTGGATATTGGATATTCTACGATCCGATAAAAGTAAATGTATATGTATATGTGTGTGCGTATGTGTGTGTGTGTGTGTGTGTGGCATGCGACAAAAATGTAATGGAATGGAATGGCTATCTCTCACACACATACTCTCTATCTCTCTCTCTCTCTCTCTCTGTCTATGTTTGTTTTTTGTACTCTATGTTTGTCTCTCTCTCTCTGTTTTTTGCCTGCCTTTGCCTGCGCCTCTATATCTATCTATCTATCTATCCGTCTCTGTCCTGTCCTTTAAATCCTTGATTTTTACAAGGCTGTGCACTTGAGTTTATTTTTTTATTATACCATCAATCAAACATCAATCATCGTCATTATCGTACTCAGTTGTGCATCAATCTGCATACATACATATGTATGTATGAATAAGTATCCTTTGTGTTCTTTGGTTTAAATGTTCTTCATCCGCTTTTTTTTTTTCTTTGATTTAATTTTTTAGTTAGCGGTAAAGAGACGGGGGACACAGAAGAACTATTAAAAAAAAAAAAAAACCCACACCCAATCAGAAACCAGAAATGATCTCTGTTTTGTGCAATTTCCAGATAATGCCATTCGCCACGACCCACCCACGATCTCAGACTCTGTCTCCGTCCCAGTTCCACCATCGTGTGGCAGTAGGGCACAGGCCATTCGGACGATGGGCAAAGGCTGCTGGCCCAAGCTCCGTGTCCTTGGCACACAATTTCGCAAATTAACGAGGCTCATCAGGTGGGTTGAAGGATCCACCTTTTGGTTTGGTCTAGCCAAAAGCTACCAGATGCAACTCCAAGTTCTAGCTGCAAGTTCAAGCAGATGCCAGCACCCAACCACCCCTGCCCCCTCAACCAAACCCCCAGCTATTTTGCTCTTTTTCTCTCAGCCTCTCCATAGACCAAAAAGCACAGCTCTCTGTCTCACTCTCTCTCTCTCTCTAAAACTCTCCAAAACCCCCCAAAAACCAATACTCAAAAATGAACTCGAAAAAAAAAGGCAAGGGCATTCAATTTCGCCTAACGAATATTTTGCAGATTACCCAAGTTTAGGGAGGGGTATTATCTTGCAACAGTCGCCACAACAGCAGCAGCAGCCGGAGAAGGAGGAACAGCAGCCGGAGGAGAAGGAGGAGCATCAACTGGAGCTGGAGGAGCATCAGGAACACGAGCAGCAGCAGCAGGAACAGCAGGAACCAAAAACAACAGCAGAACTGCAGCGACCAACAAATGTCGAAATCAAGCTCCCGCAGCTCCACGGCCAACAAGAGTTGCAGGTGCAGGTGCACTTGCAACCACAGCGTAGAGCTCGGCCATCGGTTCTACTGAAGCCGCAGTATGCCTGCTTCCTGCAGAATGAGACAAGGCCGGCACAGCCACCGCCAGCGCCAGCGCCAACGCCACCGCCTCCCGTTTCAGTTAAGCCCCGGAAGGCGGCATCCTTCTCAATAGGCAACCATCAGCATCAGCATCAGCATCATCAACAGCAGAGTAAATATGAAATACCCGCTAGCAGAAACCGAACCACAACCACCACAGCCAAAACCATGATCAGGAGCAGTAGCAGGAGTGGAAGCCAGTGCAGCAGCGATGCCAGCCAGCAACAGCAGCAGCAGTCGCGTCGTCGGCCGAGTCTGCCGTCATCGCTAGCTTTACCCAATGCCAGTACAGCCCTGCTCCAGGCACGCATACCGGGCACCACGCTCTACTATGTCTAAGCCAAATGCGAATCAACAGAAATCAGAACCGAACCAAAAAATATAATTAAATGCGCTCCACACCATACCGCCTCTTCAAGCCTGCAAGCCTTCAAGCCTTCAAGACTCCAAGACACCGTTCGACTGCAAAGTGCCAGAGAAACGTAGGCATTGCCCAAAAGCTTTACTCACATATGTATAATATAAACCTATTAAAACTAGGCTAAAGCAAAACCAAACAAAACAGAAAACATCCCCCCCGTGGTGGCTATTTGGTGAACCGAAATCCCGAAATCCTTGAAATCCGCTAAATAATGCGAGAGTGCGCTTGGCCTTTCCCAACACCACCTTCCCTTAATTGGTTGTTGACAAATACAAAACAAAAAAAACCCCGACTCCGACTCACATCCATAACTCAATGCGGAACCAGGAAAACAAAATACACACAAACACGAAAACAAACACACAACACATGACCCCAAAACACACTCCATGGAGGATCGGATCCAATAGACAAGTTTGCTTCCCCGTTGTAAATATATGATAAATGATATGCGTGGAAGATGTGCTGCAGGCAGAATGCAATGCAATGGAAAAAGACCAGGAGAAAAAGCACTCAATGGAAAGGACTCAACTAAAAAGGAGTTTGAAGGCTTTGAATATACATATATCCTTATAACTGTGTACTAACAATCCCCACACACCCCCCACCAAATGATATATGTACATATGTGTACGTTGAAAGCTCTCCCTTAGGCTATAACTAAATATGTGATAAATATGCCTGCTGCCCAAGTGAACGATTAGCGTGTTATTGTTGGCCTTGTTCTAAGCTACTGACTGACTGAGTGAGTTGCCTGAAGGCAAGCGACAATACTATAGATACTGCGGCATACGAACAGTGATCGGTGATCGGTGATCCTACGATAATGAATCTCTCTCTCTCTCTCTCGCTATGCATGCAGAAGAGAATATAGAAACTCCCACTGCCAGACATTCGTTGAGAAGTGAACGAAACCCACTGCTGGAACAGCTGTTTGCTAAGTGTAAATGTAGAAGTACTTTTTGTTGTTGTTGTGCTTTTGCTGCCATTATGCATCAGGCATTGCGGCATTCGATTACTCGTACTTGTTATTCGATTTCTATTGTATGTGCATTCGTATTCGTTTCGAATGTGGAAGGAGCGGGTGGGGGGGGGGGTGTGTATGTGTTACCGTATTGGATTGCAATTGACACCACACGCTTTTGCCTGACACCTGACACCTGACAGCCCGCATCATGCACCCCACTGGCAGGCAACCACTATCTCCCTCTCCCTCTCCTCTAGCTAAGTACGTGCCTCACTCGCTCTCACTCTTTCTGTCTCTTTCTTTTTCCACAAGTGTTTTCCACACACACCAACACACACACACACAACATACACACACACACACACACGCTTTTCATTTCCCCAATACATACATAGAATATATGAAAATATTTTATTTATTTGTTGTTTGTTGTTGCTGTTGTTTGTCTCGTTTGTTGTTGGGTTTTTTGTGTCGTTTGTTTGTTTTTGTTTTTTTTTTTTGGTTGCATTTCCCGTTTATGCTTTTGGACTATTGGGAGATCTATCCCTATCCTAACTGTGTATTGTATTTTCTAGTTTTCTATTTGGTTTGTTCATACTAATTTCTTTTGCAGATATTATTTAAATGTAACATCATACATAAGCAAAGCAAAAGTTCGTTGAAATAGTATCTACATATACATATATATGTATTTATATCAGATATATGTATGTACATGTATGTACATATGTATATACCCATCATATATAACTCTATCAAATGTGTGTGTGTGCAACAAACAATTAACCCAAACAAGAAATCGCATAAGCAAAATGAAATACAAAACCAAAACCAAAACCCAAAAGAAATGAGTGGCAAAACAGTGGCGATCATTGGAGCCGATGATGTTGATGATGATATACCACCTATAAAAAAATGATTCTATAAAAAAGAGAAGAAAAACCACACACCACAAATCAAATATGAATTAATAATAATAATAAGAATGAGAACAACAACAAAATAAAATCCAAAAACTGCTAACAAATCTGCAACAAATATCAAATGTGCAACACACACCACCAACCTCTAACCAAACCAAAAAATAATCAAAAAACAAACATAAACAAATATGCACTGCTCTCTGTCTGCTCTTGTCCAGATGGCAGCGAAGCCCAAAACTAATCGAATCCAAACTAATCGCCAATTCATATTACTTCCCAAGGTAACTAACCCCAGATTAGACCACACACCACACAGCACATCACCTTTGGCACATCCTCATTATCATCCAGCCATTACACATCTCTCATCTGATCCACAATATTCATTTGCACTCCATCACCAAATCCACAGATCCATTCATCCATCCACACACACAAAAAAAAAAAACTCCTTTTTTTTAAATACATAAATATATCTATATTTTTTTTTGTACATTTTTTGGTGCCACTTTTTGATTACCGTACTAACCTGCTCCCTCCAAAAAAAATAAAAGAAAAAAAAACGACCAGCAATTTTTTTGGTAAATGTTTCCGATCTTGACTAATCTTTGATTGAATTTGCAGGCTCTACGGCACTGGGCTTTTACACGCCCATGAAGGCCTCACCGATGGACAGCCTCTTCCAGCTGGGTGTCACCAGATACGCGCTCCCCGACAGCAGCAGCAGCAGCAGCGGCGGCGCCAGCAACAGTGGCAGTGGCAGCAACAGCAACAACAGCAGCAACGGCTGCAGTCCAGCAGGTGGCGGAGGCGGCAAGGCAACGACTACGCTGTTCAATGGAAACGGCAGCATTGTGGGCATCGGCGAGGGCCTCATCAAGGATGGCGGCGGCAACTGCGCCGATGAGGGGGACGCAGCGGCGGCCACAAATGGGGCCGTCGGCAAGAAGGGCAATTGCGATGCGGATGGAGAGGACGACGACTATCATCCAACGGCGACGCCCGGCGGTGGAGTTGTTTATAGCGAGGGCACACAGAAGACGGATCTATTGTACTGATTAGACGACTTACACACAGCTCTCTCTGGAGGAGCTCTCTCTCTCTCACTCTCTCTCCCCCTCTCTATCTGTATATCCATGGCTCGTTAATGCAACATCATCCCATTATAGTCCCCCCGCACCCGCCCCCGCCCCCCCCTCCCTGCTGTCTGAAAACCGTGCGCTTAGGTGAAATATCAATTTCAGTTATACATAAAACAAAACAGAATACGGCAGAAAGAAAAACACACAGAAAGATACGTATATATATATATATAGATATTATTTGTAAGTCGTAAGAGCCCTAGACACGAGATGTGGGTGTGAATGTCAATGGCGCGAGATCCAAACAGATCTGTGCCTGTGTGTGTGTGTGTGTGTGTGTGCGTGTGTGCGTTGTTGTGAGTGTCGTCTTTATATATATATATATGTTTTTTTTTTTCTTTAAATTAATAATGATTACATTATTATTATTATGATTATGAGTATTGTAAATGCATCGATGGCACTTCAGTGAAGGAACCAACCATTACGCGAGTTGTTCCGTATTGTATTTGTATTTGTATTCCATTTACGGTATTTTTTATAGTAAATATACAAGAGGAGAAAACACGCCAAGAAACAAAAATTAATATACTTGGATATTTTGCCGAACATAAACTAAAAAAAAAAAACAAAACAAAAAACGAAAACATTGTAAACAACGAGAGATTGTTCCACCAACAACAGAAACAGAAACCGAAACAACTTAACAACTGAATCCCGCTTTAGGGTCTAGCATTAAACATACATATAAATCCAGATCAGATTAGATCAGATCAGATCAGATCAGATCCCTCCCCCAAGAACAATATGTAAGAATCGGAGCGACACAATGATGATGATGGTCCCCAACCAACACACCAACCACCCCCAACCCAGCCCCCCAATCAATTTCCGTATATCCGATACACACTTCCAATTTCCCGATACGAAACCCGGAAGACAAGTAAAGGAAAAATGTAAACATTTGCCTCATAATTATTATTACACATTTAGCGCTTACATACATATTTTTTACAATTGTATTCCGTAAATAAATATAAATATATACAAATACATTACAAATGCCAACCTGTTGAATCTCCTCCTGGCACTGCATAGTGTTGTAAGCGCGCTGCAGTGTTGGAAAGCTGCTTTGGCACTGCCATTGGTACGGAGAAGTATGCTTTATGATTTGACAGAGGCGCCCATATAGTATATTTTAAGGCTCCACACGCGTGTTCTGTCTCTATTCAAATGGTGTAGCTTATTAAGATTAGGTGTGCTTCGAAATAATTTCCATCAAAAACCGAAACGCAGTGTCGTGGTGCCCACTCCATCTGCCAAAAAATAATAATAAAACTATTTGTTCGTCATGGCTTGGCAGTTGTTTGCTGCTGGCCCAACGGAACGGTTGCCTTTGCCTGCTGCTCTACGAACGGAATTGAATTGTGGTAAGGAAACTGCAAATTGGGCAAACGCGAGACGCGACGCGACGCAGCACGATAGCTGCCTACAAAGCACCGTATTAGGCCGCATTTGGGAGACCAGACGAGACCGAAACCGAGACCAGAAACAACGATGCACCTGTATGTGGCCTTGTGGGTGTGTGGCACGGCCCTGGCTCTGCTGCTTGGCTGGCAGCAGCGCAAATGCTGGCGCCTCATCTGGCAGCTTAACGGATGGCGGGGCGTGGCCCAGCAGCCAATCCTGTGGTTCCTGCTCTGCATTAACCTGCACCCAAACAGTTGAGTCCCGCAACCCTTTAGACAGCTCGCAACCGAAAGTAATTCTTCCGCTCTGCCAACGACAGGCATACTGGAGCGGGTGACACAGATGCGGAAGTACTTCCAGCGACCGCTGGCCATCCTGATCGGTACCCGGGTGCTGGTCTACATCGACGATCCCGCCGGCATGGAGACCATACTGAATGCCCCCGAGTGCCTGGACAAGACCTTCATGCAGGAGGGTTTCTTTGCCAAGCGCGGCCTGCTTCATGCGCGCGGTGAGTATCCCCCATTGTATCCCATCCTTAATGCTCGGATGTCAATTGCTGTTTGCAGGCCAGAAGTGGAAGCTACGGCGCAAGCAGCTCAATCCGGCCTTCAGCCATAACATTGTGGCCAGCTTCTTTGATGTGTTCAATGCCGTGGGCAACCAGATGGTCGAGCAGTTCGCCTCCCTGCCGCATCTGCACGGTCGGGCCGTGAAGTTCACCGACGCCGAGGATATGCTCAGTCGCGCCGTTCTGGAGGTATCCTGCCGTGAGTAAGCCCCCAAGGCAAAGACCCATCTCACACACAATCCAAAACGCATTGCGGAATACGAGTAGACTCTCCCTGCCCTTCGCGGTGCGACACGTTTGCCGCGTTTCCATGCAACGCACGTAATCCCCTCCCCATACCGCGCACTGGCAACTAGCGCACCGCCCACAGAAAGACACATATTTATTTATATAAATTATGAACGATGTTTGATGTTTGATCGTGGTTGGATTTTGGATACCATTAGAAAGGGAGAGAGTGCCATTTCCTCATGGCTTTAATGGCTTTAATGCAGCCATAGCCAGCCATAGCCAGCCATAGTAGGAGCTGTAGTTCGAGTCGAATCTCACATCAGCACATTTATTCATGCATCTCTATGTAGATCCTACCTCAAGTCATCGTTCTCTCGTTTCAGTGACTGTTATGGGAACCCCAACGAATTTCACCCAAACGGATGACGCTCACATCGCCTCCAGCTACAAGCGGTGAGTATTTGTTGACCTGTTTGACTTGACCCTTGTGGCAACATTTCGATACGCACAGCCTGCTGGAGATCTCAGCCATCAGGGTGGTGAAGCCGTGGCTGCAAATCGATCTGCTGCACCGCTTGCTGGCCCCCGAGCTGTACGCGGAGGCGGAAAAGTGCAACCAGCTGCTGGTGGAGTTTGTGGCCGGAATTGTGCAGAGCAAGCATCGCAATTGGCAGCTGCGGGCCGCCATCAGCGAGGAGGCTGGCGAGGATTCAACCGCCTGGCAGCGGCGCATCTTCATCGAGCAGATCTTCCAGCTGGCCGCCAACGGGGAGCTGACGTTGCAGGAGATCGAGGACGAGGCCCAGTCCATGGTCCTGGTGGTAGGTAGCAGCAGCACCATTCACAGCAGGCAGAACCATTCTAAATAACCATTCTCCAGTCCTTTGAGACGGTCTCCAACAGCATTATGTTGGCCCTGCTCTGCCTGGCCACCCACAAGGGCGACTGCCAGCAGCGGCTGCGTACGGAGATTGCCAGCGTGTTCCCGGGCCAGGGCAAGGGCTCCACTCCGGATGCCACCCATGTCGGGCTGGAGCAGCTGCAGCAGCTGCGCTATCTGGACGCCTTCGTCAGCGAGGCCCTGCGCCTGCTGGCCACTGTTCCGATGAACCTGCGGCACGTCAGCCGCGACTTCCAGCTGCCGGGACGCGAGGCTATCGTGCCCCAAAACAGCATCATCGTGCTGGATACCTTCAATATGCAGCGCGACGAGGCCGTGTGGGGCGACAATGCCAAGCAGTTCGATCCGCAACGCTTTCTCGACCAGGACCACGATCAGCCAGAGGGCGAGGACATCTCTGGATCATCAGTACCCAAGATCAATGGCCAGCATAAACAGAAGCAGCCGCAGCAGCAGCAGCAGCAGCAGAGGCGCCACTCATACAGCTTTCTGCCGTTCTCGAAGGGACTGCGCTCCTGCATTGGTGAGTGAAGATCTCCGAAGATGCGGAACGGAATTCCGTTTGCACTCCAGTTGTGTGTTCCCTTTTGCCCCCACAGGTCGACGGTATGGGCTGTTCATCATGAAGGTGTTCCTTGTGAAGCTGATTGTGGCCTTTGACTTCAGCAGCGACTTCCAGCTGGAGCAGCTGCAGTTCGTGGAGAACATCTCCTTGAAGTTCAACAACGTCGATGACATCTTCCTGGCCATCCAGCCCCGACAGCACCAGCAGTCCCAGGATGAAAACTAAAACACCACAGAACTCTTCATTACATATTTTCTGTAACATAAAAACATTGTTTTTTTTTTTTTTGCAAATATTTATCGTTGATTTTTTAGATTTGGCAAAGTTAACTAAATTACAAATTTTAAATTGTGGACAGCTTCAAGTTTGGCTCAGTATATGCATGCATGAAGATTATCCAATTACCTTATTATTATTTAAATTCCAGCGATGTATCAATACTTTCTGGAATAAAAACGGTTTAACGAATTTTGTGTTGTCAGCCTCCAAGTTTCATGCCACCCAGCCGTTGTCAGAATGCCAAACGAAACTAATCGATATATTTAGCAATCGAGATCGTAGCAGCAATGCATCTATAAAACATGATGAGGCAGCATAAAATGTTGCCAAAGTGTTTGCAGCATGCTGCTGAGAAAAATTCAATATTAATTTTTAAAAGCAGCTTGGAACAACAAAATTTTAAATAAAGGGAATAGGGTATACAAATGTCCGTGCGGATAGCAGCAAACCTGGTTGACAGCGGCAATACTTACGCTTTATGTTTTTACTTGTTTTGCTTGAATCCTATTTTGTAAAGAAGTCAATAAAAATGAGTCCTTCAAATTAAATAATCCCGTGTGAAATTGAAACATGAATCGGATAAAATTTATCGTCTGGTGCTGAGGGATCTAGCTGGCTTGGCTAATATTAAACAGAATATCAAAATCCGGGAATGCGATTTATTTCGTCAGTGTCTCTCGAAATGTACATAAATATGTAGTTAATATGTTGCAAATGTGTTGTTAGCGTGTAGTTCCATGTAAAACATCAACTTTGCCATCAAAAGAACATTAAAGAAAACCCTATTTTATGATTAATTAAATAGAAATGAGTACCTGAAATAAGCGAGTCTTTTAGGAAATTAATCAATTTATCGTAGAAAACTATATAATCAGTGCTGAGGCTCCAGTAAATAGTAAAATACTAATCCAAAAATCAAAATCGGGGAAATGGATCCAGTTGGGATAATTTTCTTCGGTATATTTACGGTATATTTTAAAGTGAGAAGGTATATTTTGGTATATTTCTGAGGGTCAGACGGCATATTTGATCGGCCAGTCCGTGGTCACACTGGTCGAGTGTTACGTGTGTTTTTTGGCTTCTCGATTTCTTTTTTGTTTCCTTCCTCATTCTTTTCGTTGTTGCTCAGCCGTTCTTCTAGTTCTTGTTGCCGATTGTCGTGCTGCTCTAGCACTTGTATTTCATATTGTGCCCAGGCACAACAGTAGGCCTATGCAGCAGCAACAGCAGTCGCGTCGGCAAAGCAGCCACCGTATTAACAATTAACCATTATAATTTACCGCGTGCTGCGCAGAGCAGCGGCAGAAAAACCACCAGTACGGCCTCG